TGTTGCTCCTTCACAAACTGTTCCGGTTCTTTGTGTTTTTTGTCGCATGTTTTGGTTTTTAAGGTAGCCTTTGAAGCTGTTTGTTGCTCCTTCACAAACTGTTCTGTTTTTTTGTGTTTTTCGTCACACGTTTCAGTTTTTAAGGAAGCCTTTGAAGCTGTTTGTTGCTCCTTCACAAACTGTTCCGGTTCTTTCTGTTTTTTGTCGCATGTTTTGGTTTTTAAGGCAGCCTTTGAAGCTGTTTGTTCGTCCTTCACAAACTGTTCTGTTTTCTTGTGTTTTTCGTCACACGTTTCAGTTTTTAAGGCAGCCTTTGAAGCTGTTTGTTGCTCCTTCACAAACTGTTTTTGTTTTTCGTGTTTTTCTTCGCACGACACATTTATTAATGCAGGCTTTGAAGTTAGTGGCTGACACACGTTATTCTCGACATTTGTGGGAGAATGAACAGAAGCTTTTGCTGAATCCTGTTTTTTGTCCCACATGCGTCTAAAAAAGTTTATCTCCCACTGCTCTTCAAAGTTTAACACAAGAATTACTGTGTCCGGCTCTGGGTTCGATATTTTAAAGGCATCCAGCGCTGAAAAATACTGAGAAAAAAAGCTGATGACATTCTCGGGCTCTTCAAGTTGTGTTGCTCTGCAGACACATTCCATCAAAATTTGAAGTTCCTCTGAGGTTGTTGCAGTCCGCGGTGCAGTTTTTAAAGCAGGTTTTGAAGTTCGTGGCGCGTTAATGGCATCCACTGAAGTTCTGCCTCTTTCTGGTCTAACTGCATTTTTATAATTTAAACAACTTTTCTTCACCTGTCTCACAGCTACCTTTGCCACTGGTGGAAGAGGTACTTTTTCATTTGTGAGGTCTGGTGAAGACAGTTTATGTCTTACCTCATCATTTGAACGTGGTGGTGGATGGATTTCAACGACAGTTTGAAATGTATGACACACGCCATTTTTGACATTTGTGGGAAAATGAACAGATTTTGCTGAATTCTGTTTGTTTCCCCACGTGCGCCTAAGAAAGTTTATCTCCCACTTCTCTTCAAAGTTTAACACAAGAATTCCTGTGTCCGGCTCTGGGTTAGATATTTTAAATGTATCCAGCTCTGAAAAATAATCTGCAAAAAAGCTGATGACATCCTTGGGTTTTTCCAGTTGTGTTGCCCTGCAAACACATTCCATCAAAATTCGGAATTGCTTTGTGGCCTTTGACGTCATCTTGAAATCGCCTAACTTCGTCGCTCCTTCGAAAGAAATGACAATGAAATCTGAACTTGGTCTATTTATAAACTTGCATAGACATGCAAATGATGTATCAAAGACAGACCTATGACATCATGTAATTAATGCATTAATTATGCATTTATGATGTCACTAAGGCAGACCTATGACATCATCAGAATTCTCGCCCTTAGCAAACATTTCTGAATTCTAATTCTATCTAAATTGTTTTAGAGTATAGTGTTTGTTTATTTTTGAAAAAAAAAAAAGACAAAAAAAGAACACACCTAATTTTTTTTTTTTTTTTTTTAAACAAAAAACTTTTTTAAACCAAAAATAAAAGACATACACATAAAAAGAATTCCTCCATCTAGTTTAAACTTGGGATTTTTTTTGGTCATGTACGTAACTTTTTAACATTTCCTGTTTTTACGATAGTATTTTCAAATCAAAACACATCCTAGTGATGATGCTATGTGTTTTAACTGAGCTGAAGCAACAATGGAATTCACATACACCTCAAGTGTTCACATTTTCTGGACAAAGTAAATGGTTCATTGAGTAAAAAAGAAAAACACTAAGTCAACAAGGAAGCAGGGACATATTATGGTAAATTATTATACCATAAATGTTTCTTGTTACAAAACAACTTGAGGAATGCATTCCAAACAAAATATACTAGATAGATATATTTGAAATCATTGTTTGGAAATTCTTTATTAAAATGTTTTTTTTTATTTACAGTATTATATACAAAGTCTTTAATATCAGTTTAATCATTTACTTTATGTCTTGAGTATATATTTGTGTTCTTTGAATTTGTTATGGATTCAGCTTCATCTTACACTTTAACTGTATATATAAATATGCATATATATATATATATTTATTTATGCATACACATATATATATATATATATAT